ATATATATATATATATATATATAAATCCATGTAAAATGTAAGATATTTAAAAGTATATCAATTATAGATGTCCATACATAAGAAAAAAAACTAAATCATAATGAAAATAACTAAAAAGTGATTAACTCCAACTTAATTCTAAACACACACATATATATATAAAAAAATCTGCTTTTTTGGCTTTTCAGTTTTCATTTTTCTTAATCCGAAACCAAATAAAAAAAACAAAGTAAATTATAAATTCAAAACCAAACCAAGAATCCAAAAAAACTAATCTAAATTAAAATTTGGTTTAATTTTTTTATTTTATTCACAGTCTGATTCTAAACTCATGAATGAATCAAAGGACTTAATGGACCTAGAACCAAATAGTTTCAGCCCAAGTCTCCTTATTTTTATTTTTTTTGTTAATGGTCAAAAATTTGTACTATAATATGTCAATTTATGAGTTGGATTGAAACAGTCTTATGCTAAATATAAGATAGTCAGCTGTTAAGTATGTGTATATTATTCAGCCCAATAGTAAAGAATAAACATATTCAAGACAATTATGTAATTATCCAAATATCATTTCAGTTCATTTTATTGCATATGATCTAGGGTGTGATATAGTTTTATAAGATGAACCAAATATAAACAGTTTTAATAAGCAATTTCATTATTTACATAATTATATTTAAAATTTTATTTCGATCTGACCCACTTAATCATATAAATGATTTTTTTTATTCAAATCAATTTTTGTTTTTCACCACCCGCACTTCCACTTAAATATTTGGATACGAATGCGGCTCCTCTCATGTCTCTTCTCCCGATTTTCCCCAAGTTCTTATTATCGCAATCTTTTGTAAAGGCTTGATAAGTGATTAATTAATTAACTAGAGATGATAAAATTATTTAAACAAACTAGTTTAAAATTTCATAAAAATTAGATTATTTAAGATCGTGATAAAAAAAATTATTTAAAACAAAACTAGTAATAGATCTTACCTACAAAAATTATTTAATACTTAATATTTTTTATTATTAATAATTCATATGGTTAGAGATTTACTTTAAAAATTTAAAATCTTAACCATTTATTTTAATTTATGCCATGTGTCCTAATCCGAATAGGAACTTTGGAAAAATGGTGAGCAGTTATATCCATTCTATTTGTTTTCCTTTTTTTCTACTAAATCAGTAGTAACTCCAAAAGATTTTTCTTTTCTTTTTTAAGTATTAATTACAGATATGTTAATATTTCTTTCGTTTCAAAAAGAATAACCTCATTTGACTTTGAACGGAGTTTAAGAAAAGAAAAAAGATTTTTTAATTTTGTGGTTCTAAATGAAAGTTATATCAAATGTACAAAAATGACCTTGTGATCTTAAATATATCACGTGGAAAATTAAAGTTAAAGTGTTACAAAAAAAAAGAGGTCATTTTTTTTAAAAATAAAAAAATAGGATCATTCTTTTTAAACTTAAAAAATAGTAATTAATTTTGAATTCATTAATGATAATTAATATGTGGCATAAAATTAGGAGCTTCATAAGAAATGAAATATTTTTTTTTTTTTTACTCAAACCAGTTAAATTAAAACTCACAATACCACCCCTTATAGATATATACGTGGGGTGATTTTTCCATATCTTAATATGACAATTTACGAGTTTGATTGAAATAGTCTTGTGCTAAATATAAAATTGTCAATATATATGTGGGGTGATTTTTCCATGTCTTAATATGACAATTTACGAGTTCGATTGAAATAGTCTTGTGCTAAATATAAAATTGTCAATATTTAAGTATGTGTATATTATTCAGCCCTATATTAAAAGAGATATAGCAAATTAAGTTTGGTTCACAAAAGAATAAACAAATTCAAGACAATTATGTATTCCCCCAAATATCATTATAGTTCGCTTTATTTCATATGATCTAGGGTGTGAATATAATTTTCTAAGATAGAACCAAATATAAACAATTTTGATAAGCAATTTCATTCTTGACATAATTACATTTGAATTTATTCCATGACTGAAAAAAAAAGGAAAAGCACTTTACAATACAATTTTGATTGAAAAATAAAAATATTTTTTATTATAGTATATTTATGAAGTTTCCTATTTTAATTTGAATCAGAAGAGAAATTTCAAGAAATGACACATGTTAATTCTATCAATAACTTAATCGAATATTGGCATGTAGATTAAATTTGGACAATTAATTCTCATCTCCTACTTACACGTCAATTTCTTAAGAGTATAAGCATCAAATTAAGGCTAAATAGGTGGTAAGTAATTTCTCTACAAATAGATGTGTGATCAGGTTGCAACTGTTATATGGTGCTATTAAAATCATTAATTAAACTCCATTTGACTTAATACTCATTTTATTAATTTAATTGCTCTATATATTAGTTCCAACTTTCCTACAATCTACCTTGTGGCACTTATAATATTTATGTTAACCTTCTCTAATTATCAATCAAACTGCCGGTGGAGTAGTCCAATAAAAAAAGAAAAGGTGCAATCCTAAATATTCTGCTAATTTGTGGGAAATTAATACTGAGAATTGCCCCTTTTTTTTTGTGTGTGATTTATTATCTGAAAATAATATTAAAAATTTATCAAAAATAATTTTTCTATGTTTTGAAAACTAAGATTATGTTGTAATGTTTGAAATTGATGGAACAAAGTGAACCGACAAATTTGCAAACAAAAAAAAGTTAAAAGTATAATCAAATATATATTTACTCGAGCAGTGCAATGTCATCTGGCTATAGGAGGTTGCTTGATTTAATTTTTTACCACTACTTTTACTTATTTACTAATTGAAAAAGTACTAGTAACTAATTATTAATAGTTAAAACTCTTTTTAATCCAATACTCATTGTTGCTTTCTAAAAGGCCAAAAAGGTTCTACAAACACCTAAAACTGGTAATGAGAAATCATTATGTTTGGACAATAATACCCTTTCCTTTATGCTTTAACATTTTTCCTTTTACAATATAAATGAAGATTGAAAGTCATAATCATTCCCACTAAACCAAACAGATTAAAATACGTTAAAAAATGAATTAGTCAGTGGTCTAAATTCTAAAATCTTTGTGGTGTACCACAAACATTTTAAAATTAGACGACGAATTCCTATAAATCAAAATGGCTATATTTATTTATTTATTTTAATGTCACATTAGATACTAGCTTACAACATAAACTTATTCAACAAAAGTTGTTTTAAGTATTATTAATTGTTTACGCCTCAAAGTGTTGAAAAATTAACACAAGAAAAGGGCAGTTGCCGTCACGGAGAATGATTAAATTGAACTACTATCGACTTTTGGCACATCAAATGAAATAAATAATAAATCAAAGTTGTCAACAACCCAGATTTGATGCTTTCCAATCTGTTTTTATTTTTATTTATATATATATAAAAAAAAAAACGGAATGGAGACCTATGATTCTATCTGTCTACATCTTTACTTGCTACTTAAATATTTTTTCTTTTTTATGAAAGGGCAAGCCTAATGATAGGGAAAGGGGAAAGAATTAAAAAAGTAGTGAAGGCTTTTCCGAAAATTTAATGGATTGAAGTTTTATATACTTTAAAAGTTTAAGTTACATATACTAATAGTTTGAAAATTTTTATACGCCCAAAATTAAACTTGATATCAAGTTAATGAAGATTTTATCAACTTTTGTATGTCATCTAAAATGTGTTTTACTTGTAATTACTTTGTAAGTCAATTTGGATCGAGTTGATTATAATGTTCAATATCATTAATGCAAAAAGCCCAAATTCGATTTCAATACTATTTTTAAACCCAAAAAAATATTTTTAGAAAGAAAAAAAAAGAATAAAATTTTAGCGTATTGTTTCTGTCATTTATAGCATAGTGACAGAATAAGTTATCTCATATATGGAATAAGTTATTCAAAGATAATCAATTAATCTTGAGATAACTTGTTTCCAGCCAAACGATCCTAACTACTTTGATGAGTTTTCGTTGGAGGTTCAGTCAATAAGTCCAATCAGTATATTATCAAAAAAGAAATTATTTGAGTTCGGAATAAACTTTAGATTTGGCAAAAGATCGAAGTGTCTCTGGAATGAGATATCACAACTTCTTCTAAGTCCTTGGAAGATGCAAATAATGGTGGGCCAAAGAATGATCAATTGAACATGCTTTGCTAGAAATTATATTGTTCATAGTAGTTAAGGATATTGCAGTTTATATAGACATTAAAGATCGAAATAATCTAACAACCAAAATTTCTATTTTTTCCATTGGGTGAAATGAAACCGTAACCAAAACAAGTAGCCATCTATGTGGAGTGCGGACACATTAATAAAAAATGGTAATAGCAGCACTAGTATGACAACAAAATATTTCCATTGTTCAAAACGCTTTTGATCAAACATTAGACACAAATTTTTAAATGGCGCTGTTGAATTAATAAAAAACAACCAAATCCAAAGCATTTAAATTTCGTCGGCCGACGGATGCATGTTTATTAAATCAGTGGCACCACTTCCTTTCAAATCCTTTTGAATATGTAGATAATTTTCTACCTAAAGATTGTATTATATATCATGAATAAATAAATATTCGTTGTAACGGTACTTTTTTTTTTTGGTATAACTTTAAATTTCAAATTCGATTGGAGTCAAACTGGATTAAAAAAAAAATACAGAAACTAAGCAATTACAACTCCAGAGTAATGTAGTACAATATCTGGTACATTATGTATATATTACTTTATAAAGGGAAAAATTCAAAATTGTATAAGCTTCTCGTTTTACCTGGAAAATGTATTACAGAAGACTTTTAACACCACAACTCCAGAGCTTGGAATATGTTTATGGTTGGTTATAACTATATTAAACTCAATCAAAACTCTTCACTGTACAACAAACATCATCCAAAAGTAATTAAAATTAATGCAAACGAAATTAGGGGAAAAAAAAAGGAAGACACAAGAAAATTTTGTGATCAACCTTAATCACAACAAATTGGACAACGAATTAGCCCATTCTCATTGCAATCTGGACATCGTTGAAAACCATATTCATCTTCTTCAAGTTCTTCTTCATCTTCGTTATCTTCTTCATAATCTGCTCCGTAATAGATTTTACAGCTTCCTGAACATGTCTCACAAGGTACAAATCTAATATCTCCACAGGCCTCACAATTACAACCTCCAATGACACCACCATCCTCAATTCTTTCACAGTTTTCTACAAATTTCTCGAGTTTTCCATCCTCGTTCATTCGACGTATTTCATCAGCTCCACCAATGTATTTTCCCCCCATAAATATCCTAGGCAATCCTCCTCCACTGTATTCATTTCCCAGTAATTCTTTCAGCTCTTCCTTGAACCCTGAATGCATCGATACATCTCTTTCGTCGATTTTGACACCTAATCCCTTCAGAATCACTCGAACATGGCCACAATCCTCATATGTTTTCCTCACACCTCTCAGGCTAGTGAAATAAACAACAAGTTTATCTTTACTTACTTTGTACTCTGTTACTTTCTTCACATCTGTTATCTCCAATGGATCTTCCTCGTCGGCCACCGGCTTCTGATTTTCAGTAATCAACGGTTTAAGGTGAAATGGGTTTGCAGGTGGGAGATCTTCTAATGCTTTTCTGAATGTAGAAATCACTTCAGAATCAAACTCGGACACGATTGATGTGTCGTTTGAACTTGAGTTCGTTTCATCTTCAGCTACCTCCTCCCACAATGGCTTTGGGGAACCTTCGATATGATCTTTAACTCTGGGCGTAGGAAGATCATACTGAGATGAAACTGGATTTGGAGAAACATGGAATGAAAAACTGCGAACATGATGAGCAGGCTTAAGAGGACTAGAATCTTCAAGACCTTCCATTAATTCCCAAGTATTGATAGTTTCTGGCTCACCAGGTGGAGTTCTAACAGGGGTTTTCGGAACCACTTTGGGGATTTTCTCATTGATCATTTCTGACCATGTTTTTGCTTCAATCAAACCCATAGCAAACTCTTCTTTACAGCTCTTCACTTCATCGAAATCACAAAGATCAAAAGAAGATGTATCTCCGTCTTTGATTGATTGACTCTGGTTCATCGGATCAAGCTTCAGAGATCCTAAAGTAGATGAAGTCAGAGCCACCCTATGGTAGCCATCGTCGTGCATTGAATAGCTCCGGCGCACCGGTGAACAGGGGGCCCTGCATTTGTGACACACCTTCGGCTTCGAAGTTGCACAACCCATTATTATAAACCAGAGCAGACGGAAGAAAACGTTATACTTTATCCCCCAAAGTGTGGTATTATTTTTTTCGTGTGTGTGTGGATAGAAGAGAGATTAGAAGAACATTCTCAGATGATTAAGGTGGGTGGTGTAATTAAATTAGGTATAGATTCCAAGATTAAGCAACCAAATCGAGGGAAAAAAAAATCAAGAGAAGAGAATCACTGGAATCGAAGAGGCAAAAATAGAGAGGAGAGAATGGAACCTTCTGTCCTCTGAGAAAAAGAGGTCAGGCTGTTTGCCATCAATGGAGAGCCACACAGATCAAATCTTTCGATATTTTTCCAACTAAAATAGAAATCTGAACCGACAAAAAAAAAATCAATGGGTTAATCCAAAACCTTCAACTTTGATAATACGTCTGAGAGCTAAAATTTCGCATTGATCAAAGAACAGTTGATGCCAAAAACTAAAAAGGGGGAAAAGGTTAGTGAAGTCAAAAGAATAAGGCGGAGAACAGAAAGACCCTTTCAGTTACCATCACATTTCTTTCTCCTTTCCCCACTACCAAATTCCCTATTTATCTGTGTCGCAATCAAAAAGGGCCAGCAAAGAAAAATAGACAAAAACTAAAAACGACCCAGTCAGTGGGTACACGAATAGTGTAGAAACAATTAACCTTTCTGTTATGGAAACGGGAAACGGATTGCGTATCAACAAGGCTGTGGCTGTTCTTGGTGCGATGATCTAAAAATGGCTGCTAGACAATCCATAGATAACTGATGAACAAGTAGAAGCCAATGGCATTTGAATTTTGAGCCGTCCAAGAAAAAAATATATAACGTAAAACTTGCACATATCCCTCTTTATATTCCTATATTCCATTAATTCAAAAATAGTCGTCCTCACATATTTCTTTATAAATAGAAGGTAATATTATTATTGTGTCATTTTTAAAATAATAAACACAGTATACGAAAATAACTATAATTACCTATAAATATAAATTAGGAACTAAATTTAAAATTATTCACTTATCTCATTAAAATAAACAATTATTTTTAAATATCCTAAAATAATATTATGAACACTATTATTGAATATAAAATTTCTATTTGAAGTTATATTTTGATCTATGAATTTTTTAGTTTTTTTGAAATTTTAGTTTCATATTGATTTTCAGATTTTTGAATGATGAATGGTTATATATTTGAAAATCCGATATTTTTTCATTGTCTATTTGCCCCTGCCCATGTTATATGTGTTTTATTACACTAATTAGTCTAATTTTATAGGTTCAATAGATTAGTGCCTTAATGCCCTATCTATAGGTTCAAAATATTATGCCCTACCTTACCTATTTTCGCCCGTACTATTTATCTCATTTTCAAAATGTTTTAGAGAAAATATCTATTAAATTTGTTTGTTGGGTGGATTGGGCGGATAATTTTTGTTTAGTAGTTTGACCTATAAAATAAAGGTTTTTCAACCTACTGATCTGTTAGTCAATCAATAATATATCGTTTAATTCATAATGGATTAATAATTGTCGAACGATTACTGGATTGTACATTGTCTAGCTATGCCTTTTCTTTTCTTACCATACTATATAAGTACGATAATTCTTAAGGGGGTAATGATTTATCCTGTAAATAAAGTTGAATAATTCACCACTATATCGATAAGTTGTATATTATAAAATTTTAATTTATTTATTAAATCTAATATAAATAAACCAATAAATCAATTTTATGTTTGATTTATTGGTAAATGTTCGATTGTGAACACCTTTAATATCCATATTCAATAATATCTGAATGATCCTATTTAATCAAACGCTTAGAATAATATCTGGATGATCCTCAATGTAAGTTATAGAAAGTTATACATTCTATGAAACAAAATACAACTTAAAAGTCTCAAAATTGAAAATTCAAAAGTATCCTAATAAACTAATCTAAAATTGAACTAAAAAATTCAATCAAATCTGAGAATTGTGATTTTTTAATTTAAAAATCAGATATTAGATTCATATTTAATCTAAACCACGAAAAGTTCCTACGGCTAACCCCTATTGGTTGCCCTATATATAACTTTTGCTCATTGATTATTTTACTCCATTTATTATAAGCCGTGTAATTACTCTTCCGATTAAATCACTTATAACAGCGTATTCTCCTAAATGGAACTTGCGACAAACCTTAGTATTGGCTGGGTCATAAGCTGAGCTAGAAAATTTAAATCAATGAATTTAAAAAGAATTCCTCCTTCTTCTTTTTTGGCTTAGACAATACTATATAAATAAATACTTTATATGTTATTAAATAATTTTCTTAATAAAATATATCAGTCAAAATTACTGATTCTGTTTGAACTTGTAGATATCAGGTGGGTCCACTCCCAGGAACCACCTTATTTCTAGTCTTTCAATAAAAATCTTAAACTCAAATTGATATTTTTGTATGTATAGAAAACTTAAAAGACGAATTTACTTGTACTTTTTTTCTATATTCGAAAAAAGTTGTTTACTTTTGGCTTAAGTCATCTGCAGCCACTCAAAGTTGTCCGCATAATTCATTTAGACATCTCAACTAATACTTGTGCCAATTGAATACTTTATTTGTTCAAAAGTCATTCCTATTAGACACAAAATGCTGACATGGCAAAAAACGTGTAATTCACTTTTTTGAGCGCGTTAATTTAATAAAAATAATATTTTTCCTTTTTTTTCTTAATTTATCCCCTAAATTAATTTTTTAAAAAATAATTAACAAAAAAGAAGAAGGATAGTTGTCTTCTTCCCTCTTTCTATCATATTATTTTTTCTCCATTTTTATCTTTTTTTTACACAACACACCACACTCCCTCCACCTCTCTTTCTTTCACCCTCATTGTTCTTTCCTGCTTTCCTCTTTTTTCTTATATCGATTTTCGTCTCAAATATCTCGAAGAAGTTTCATTTACAATGATAAAAAAAAAAATATGAATAGATTTTTTTGAGCAAAAGTCTGTTAAATTATTTTCAATTCTAATAAATAATTTATAATGTATAAAAGATGAAGACAATGAGTGAAAATTTTAATGTTACCGAAATGAAAGAGAATGCATATTTATCTTGAATAGACAACAATGGTGTGTCATTGTCGCTCCATTGAAGAGAAGAAAGAGATGGAGCGACACCAACTCCATGGAAAATCAGAAATGGGTTTCTGAAGGAGGAGGAAGAAAGTGGGGAGGGTGGAGGCTTTAATTAAAAATAATTTTTTAATTTTTTTTTAAAATACTTTATGAATTAATTATATAGAGGTTTTAAAAAAATTAAATGTAATGCCACGTGTCATCAATTATTGGTAAAATTAATATGAATTCGCGTTTGAAATACACGCATTTTTATTTTTCAATTGATTATCAGTTTGTGTCAAATAGGTATAAATTTTTTAAGGTTTAAGTGTTCAATAGATATTTAAGTGAAATATGAGGACAACTTTAAGTGGCTACGGATGACTTAGGCCACACTCTTCGAATAGAAATAATGCACTTTAAAATGGAATGAGCTAATCCGATTAGATGCACCGAATATGTATAGTAGTTTTCTTAAAAAAAGAAAAAAGTAAGAAAATATCAGAGAAATTATTTAACCTGACCATTGTTAATATTACATAATTTAGCAATGGAGATGGTATAGTAGGTATAGAACTTTGTTATACTTGGATAATGATTAAGTGAAACAGTACTGCTAATTAATGATTATTAATTAAGTAGCGTAGCCGCTTCATTGACAATTTTCAACAATTTGACATATAAGTTCAAGCAAATCAGCTAATAATAGATTTACATGCTTTATGGTATAATCAACATAATAGGCAAGGGATAGAGTTACTTACATATATATATATATATATATATATATATATATATATTAA